CGAGTCAAGGAGAGGCAAAGTCATTCCTGCCATCCATAGCTATGGAATTCTGTTGGAAAATGAGATTAAATCCATGGATGATGGCTGGATGGGGCTTGGAGCACCCTGGCCTGGTGGGAGGTTCCCTGCACGTGGTGGGGGCTGGAATTGGATGAGCTCCAAGGTCCTTCCAGCCCAAACCATTCCATGATTCCATGATATGGATTACATCATTTATAAATACATAAATCCTGTATAATTATGGGTTTATCCTGCATCCCTCCCCACCCCAAACATGGAGCTGCTGTTTTGCTTCTTTACATTTCATCTGAAAAAACCTAGATTTGGAGTATTGTAGCCCATAACAAACACATAAATAAATTTAAAAAACTTTATTTGAAGGGCATTTTTTGGGAATTTCAATGCCTCTCTTTTTTGTAGATGCTTCAAACTCCATGTGGCGTGTTTGAGCTTTACAGAAAAGCAAAAATATCTTTAAAAACCTAAAAATCTTGGCCCAAATCCCTTTTTTTTAGCCAGCAGCAGCCCTTTTGAAGTGGTTTTGCCTTGTGGACAAAGCACAGCAGGGTTTCTTCTCCTTCCCTTTTTTTTTTTTTTTGCTAAAGGAAATTCTCATTTTTAGCTCATCCAGTGCTGGGGGTGAGCACGTTGCTAATGAGCCCCCAGAGCCATTAATTAATTCCCAAACAGCTTTAAAAACTCAAGGATTTAAATAAAAGAGGATATTCTGTAAAAGCTGAGGGTCAAGGCAAGGTAAACTGCACATTTCTGAGTATGTGGAAGCTTTAAATTCCCAGCTGGAGCAGCCTTCACCCCCCAGGAAATGTCACATCCATCTTTTTTCCCACTCTGCCTCATCCAGGGCCCAAATGAAAGGATATTTTAGGGAAGGTGCTCTGGGAAAGCTGGAATGTCAGCCCAGCTCCCCAAAACAATTTATTTGTGTTAAACTGAGCATCTCCTTCATGATTTAATGGGGTTTTTTTGGGGATGCAGCTGCTGCTCCAGCAGGGGTGCTCCATCAGGCACAATCCAGCTGGT